CGTTGCCCCGTCAGCACCTCGTACTCACCCCGGGACTTGCATCCCGCACCCCGTCCGACCCGCACCCACCCCGTCAGCGCCCCGCACCCCATTCGTGCCCCGCACCCTGTTCGCATCCGCGCCCCGCACCCCGTCCATACCCAGCGCCCCGTACGCGCCCAGTTTGCGCTCCGATCGCGCCCTGCTCCTGTAACCGTCGCCTACTCTCGGCCGCTTCTCTGCCGCGCCTGACGTTGAAGGGGGGGAGCTTAGAGGGTGCTGGGAGGGCTTTTGCAGGGACAACCGTGGGTGGGGAAGAGTGTGGAGGAAGGTTGGGGGGGAGGGGATGAGGTTCCAGGGGCAGCGATAGCTTCCTGACGCCGCACCTGCGCGCTTCGTCCGTGGTCCCCTGCAGTCTCCTCATGTTCCTCCTTACTCGTCTCTTTCCCGATCCCCATGGTTTGTCGTGCGCCTCTCAGTTGTGATGTGTCCCCTGAGTCTTGTCCGTCTCGTTACCGTGCCGACGGCCCGTTTCAACTTGTTCTCCGCTATCGTGTCCCACCTGCTTCGGTTCTTCCGTTGCCTCCAGTCTCGTCCCTTCCTGTGCCTCCCGCTCTGGTTTCTGACTCTTGTCGTGCCGCTCGTCCTGTCGTCTCCCGTGTTCTCTCCTCGTTAGTCACTCACCCGTCTGCTCCTCCGTCGTTTGTCCCAGCTCTTGCTGCTGCTATTGGTGACTTTGCATCCTCCCACCACCTTGACTACGCGGCTCAGTTGGTGAGTGTCACTGCCCGTTCTCTGTCCCTAGGGGGTGCTCCTTTCTTTGACTTGGAGGTCCTGGGGGTTAGGGAGTTCGAGCCGGCATTCCTGCGGCCATTGTTCCTCATCTTTGCGCCATGCTGCTTGCCCCTGAAGGAGATCCAGACGCCCTTGACATCCCGACTCCTCGCACTCACGTGAAGGCAGTCTCGGGACCTTGGGCCCTCAGCGGATAGCAGCCATGGACTCAGAGATGGCATCTTGGAGATCCATAGGCACCTACGTCGACATGGTTTCCCCTCCCCATGCGAACATAGTCGATGGCATGCGCATGCTCTTAGATCCAGGTGGTCTCTATGACTCTCAGGCGTGCCTTGTGGATGCTGAATCCCAGCCGCACAACCTCCTCGTTGGGGGACCTCCTCTTCCGGAAAACGTGTACAAGCTCAGCTTTTCCGCAGCTGACCCTAACAGCCATCACTTTCCATTAGCTGTGGCTTGAACAGTGTGAAGCGTCGTTTTGTGGCTGCAAGTTCCGGTCGCAATGGGTTTACAGAAGATTTTATTCACTTTCAGGCAACATGCAAGGATCTGCACTCACAAGTTTGGCACAGTTAGGCGCAAGCAGCGGCGCAATAATTTCGTGAAGGAGCAAAACATGCTACATCGGATTACGCAGGATGGCAGCGGTTGGAAGCGGACATGTGGATCTGCAACACTTTGGTCCAATCGGAGGGCAAGGCCCGCAGCGCCTTAAGAGTCTCATTTGGGGCAAAAGCACTTCTTCTGCTCCTCACGCACGGTTACGACCGTCTTTTGTAGTATAATTTTGCTCCTCGGTGTACACTTATCAATCATAAAAAAAGAAAAAGAAAAAAAAAATCAACAACGATGGCATGTGGATCGATAAGGTGAAGAAACCACCTGGATCGCCGCTTGTCTTCAAGGCACTCTATGTGGCAAGAGGCTTAAGTTAGTGCGAGGGGTAATTTTTTTTTCAGACCTTCTCCCCCACCCCGAAGATGACCACTCTTCGGATGTTACTGCACGTCGCAGCACAGCATGACTACGATCTGCCATTACTTGCCTTCTACAGGGCAGCCCGCCCACCTCGCTTCACTGGGACCTTCTCGCCTGGGACACAGTGGAGCCTTCAGCAGCCGGTCTATGGTTTGCGCAAGGCTCCCAGGGAGTGGCAGGACACACTACATACTACTCTTGCTGACCTTGGTTTTTACCCGTCTTCTGCCGACCCTTCATTCTGCGTTCGCATGGGAACTACGCCGTTCTTTATCCTTGTCTACGTCGATGACTTGGTCTTTGTTACTGCAGACAGGGTTGCTCTGGCTTAAGTGAAGAATGAGCTAATGAAGAGACACACTCACACTAACCTTAATGAGTTGTGATGTTACCTTGGCTTGCAGACCACCAGGGACAGAGTAGCGCGCACTATCACTCTAACTCAGCCACACATGGTCCTTCAGTAGTTCCACCTTCAATTCACCTCCACACAAACTACTCCTCTTGCTGTTGGTCACACACTCTCGGCTCTTGTTCCTGACGAGTCGATCGAGCCTAGTGGTCCGTACGCAGAGCTGGTGGGGTGCCTCATGTACCTGATGTCTTGCACTTGCCCAAACCTCGCCTATCCTATTTGCATCCTGCCTTGCTTTGTTGCGAGTGGGAGACACCTTCCCGCTCACTGGACGGCCGCTAAGAGGGTAGCGAAGTACCTGGCGACCACATTAGGCATGGGGTTTGTGCTTGGGGGACGACAGAAAGTCACACTCACGGGACACACTAACGCTTTGTGGGCAAACGACTCTGAGACTTAGCGGTCTTCTCAAGGCTATTGCTACAGCCTTGGTACAGGAGAAATCTCATGGAGGTCTACTCGCTCATCGTCAGTTGCTTCATCCAGTGCTAAGGCCGAGATCTACACCAGTGCCATGGCTGCTCGGGAGCTCCGCTGGCTGACCTTCTTGCTCACTGATTTAGGTAAGCGGCCTAGCTCCGCCCCGGTCTTGTACGCTGACAACATGGCCATAATACTCTTGTGTCAGGAGCCTATACTGGAGGGGAGAGTGAAGCACATTCAGCTGCAGTCATCCTACTGCACGAGCTGCAACGACGCGGCCATGAACGCTTGGTTTTCATGGACTCAGAGGCCAACACCGCTGATATCTTTGCCAAGGCACCCGGCCTCATAATCATTAGCGGATCTGCGCACTGCTTGACCTTGTTCCAACCAACCCTCACTTGTTAGGTTGCTGTTATATGTACTTGCTCTGTCTTTGTCTTGCTTGTACACATTGAGTGGCCTTGTGGCCGTTTGTCTCAGCCCACCTTGAGTTGCATTTTGTACACTTGGTTTTCTTGTTGACTGGGTCTTGTGACCACTTGTCTCAGAGGCCGGACTGGTTGTGCCGCCCCGACTTGCTTCTCACCGGCCATACACAGTCCGCCCCTTACCTAGGTTAGGGGGTGTGTCAAACTGTATTTGTTACACTAGGCAGTTGGTTTTGGTAGCCTATGTTTGGGTTGACTATTTACCCTCATTCAGTATTATGTTTCTAACAAATACCATTTTACATATTTGTCTACGTGCTTACTCGGAAATTTCGAATGTGACCTCAGAAACAATTCTTCATTACATGGCGTCTCGAACGATAGTTGCCAAAGTAGGAACCTTAGATCCACACTCATTATGAGAAACCCATTTCCAGATCTTTAAAATGCATTATATGTAATTTAGAAGGGCTCTTTTTACAAGATTAATAAGAGACCCATAACCTTCCATATACAAGTTATCCTTAACGTTTTTAGAGCAGTATGAGATAAGACATATATGTCTACTATCCGGGCAATGACGGTACCTTCTACCGTACAACTAGGGTCTCCATTATTTGTTTTAGCATCATTTGATTTTCTCTTCATCGTCTGGTTTTTCATATGAATATTTTCGAATTGTCTGTTACTTTTGACGGTTTTCCATACAATAGAAATTTCATTACGAGCTGGCTTCCATCGAGCTGTGTGACCGTATTGATGGGTGGGTGGTGTTGAGGAGAAAGGCCTCGCCCTTGCTTGGGCGAATTCAATCTCGCTGACCGGTCTGCAATGTGTGCAGACAGCTGTTTTTCATTATCTACGCCAACTTCGGGGACTTTTATGTGTGTGTGCAACGAAGAGTCCTTCGTGTGAAAATAAAGAACGAGAGTGAATGCACTAGCAGGAATGTGGGTACAAGTAGGAAACCCTAATTGGGTTGTACCCCATATGGGCCACAGCCTAGATAACAAGCCTATAAGTTTACAAGAGGTCACAAGACCAGTCAAGCAGCATATAAGTTTGACACACCCCCATAGGCAAAGTGGGGGAGAACAAGAGGTCACAAGACCAGTCAAGAAAAGCAAAGCAAGCTCAGGGTGGATCACGAAGTCACCACGCATTCTGAGCACAAGCAAATGGCCACAAGGCCAGTTCACATGCAGAGTTATATAAAGGAGAACAAGCAATACAGTGATCACAACCTAGCAAGTGTAAGCATGCAGGTATATATATAGAGATCACAGTACAGGCAAAGTCAAGAAGTGAGCAAGTGAGGCCAAGTAGGCACAAGGCCTAGAACAGTACAGAAACGCTGATGATCACAAGGCTGAAGTGCCTTGATGAATATATCAGCAGTGTTGACCCGAGAGGCCACGTAAGCAAGACGAAGCTGACCACGCTGCTGCAACTCTCGAGCAAGGAAGTAACGCAGAGCGATGTGCTTCGTTCTGTGCTCCAGTCTGTGCTCCTGCCACAAGGCAATCATGGCCTTGTTGTCGACGTACAGAATTGGAGGAGAACGAGGCGGCTCTCCCAAGTCGGCCAGCAGGTAGGTGAGCTAGCGTAACTCCTGTGCAGCCATGGCCCCTGCGTAGATCTCAGCCTCACAACTGGAACTGAGAACAGAAGACGAGCGGGTAGACCGCCACGAAACAGACCCGGAGCCAAGGCTGAAAGTGTAACCCTGTGACGACCGCTGCGTAGCCAAGTCGTCAACCCAGGAAGCGTCTGCGTGACCAGTGAGGACAACTCGAGCCCGTCCTCCAAGCACGAGTAGCGCAACACCCTCTTAGCGGCATCCATGTGCTCTGGTCGGTGTCTCCCAGGAACAACATAGCGTGCCAGGATGCTAAGAGGGTAAGCAAGTTCAGGTCGAGTGCAGGTCATCAGGTACATGAGGCAGCCCACAAGCTCTGGATACGGGCCACTCGGCTCTACGGATTTATCCGAAGGCAGAGCTGAGAGCGAGTGGCGATTAGGCAGAGAGGAGTGGACTGTGGCGAGGAGTACGTGAAGCCGAAGCGCTGAAGGACCTGCTGCACCATGTGTGACTGAGTCAAGGTAATGGTGCGCTGTGCTCTGTCCCGGGTGATCTGCAAGCCAAGATAGCTGCGCAGCTCACCCAGGTCTGTGCACGTGTGTCTCTTCTGCAGCTCCGACTTCACGTGGGCCAGTTCCGCAGTGTCAGCAGTAGCAAAGACCAAGTCGTCGACGTACACGAGGATGTAGAACAGCGGCAGGGAGGTGTCGGTGCGTAGAAACAGCGACGGGTCAGCAGTGGAAGGAGCAAACCCAAGAGCCGCAAGCGTCGTCCTCAGTGTGTCGTGCCACTCGCGAGGCGCCTGGCGGAGACCGTAGACTGGCCGCCGGAGGCTCCACTGACTACCAGCAGGAAACGACCCAGTGAAGCCAGGTGGGTGGCGCAGCCAGATCTCCTCGTGCAGGCTGCCCTGTAGGAAGGCTGTGCTGAAGTCAAGAGAGTGAAGCTCGTAGTCACGCTGAGCGGCGACGTGCAGCAGCACCCGAAGAGTGGTCATCTTTGGGGTAGGGGAGAAGGTCTGGAAGAAGTCAACTCCCTGTCGCTGACTGAAGCCTCGTGCAACGTAACGCGCCTTAATGCGGAGAACCCGGCGGCCGCTTCACCCTGAAAATCCACATGCCACTGACGATGTTCGCCCCAGGTGGGGGAACCTCGTCGACGTAGGTGCCTGTGGACTTCCAGGAAGCCATCTCTGCGGCCATGGCTGTCTGCCACTGAGAGGAGTAGGGACCCTCTATCGCGTAAGAGCGCGAGGTCGGGATGTCTGGTGCATCCGGGTCTCCCTCAGGTGCAATCAGCATGGACACGAGATGAGGTAAAGCAGCTGCAAAACACTCAAACTCCTCCTGCCTGTCCTCAAGGACGTCCGTGCTGAGAGCACACTCACCCCCGACGGACGGAGGACAGACAGACTCAGACTCAGCAACAAGACTAGCGGCGTAGTATAGACAACAGGCGGCAGCAAAGTCAACAAGCTCAGCAACTAGGGCAGACGCAGCAGTGGACTCAAACAAAGGGTCAGTGACAACAGTAGCGAGAAGACGAGTGACAGTAGGACTGGCAGCACGAGCAAGGTTTGACGGCGGGTCAGCAACGTCAGGAAGAGAGGACGCAGGAGGAGACGGCAGAGGGAAACGCTGTGGAGCATTGGAAGGACGAAGTGCCATCTGGTGCGTGCCTGGGACAGGAGGAGGACGTTGACGCGGAACACAACGACCAGTGCGAACAGCGCGAACATGCGACGCAGGATGAGACGCAGGCTCACGACGCTAAGACAGACCTCCTGTATGCTCAGTGTAGGGAGAAGGAGCAGGCAGTGGGGAGGCTGGCTGTAACTGCGGCTGCGACTGGTCAGGTAGTGGACACAGTAAGGGAGGAGTAGAGTCAGTAGAAGGCGGGAGACCAAGAACCTGCTGAAGCAGTGGAACAAAGTATGGCCGCGGCCGTACAGCGCCACCAGAACCAGCACCAACAGCACCAGTACCTCCAGCTCCAGGGTCTCCAGCTCCAACGCCTGCAGTACCACCAGCTCCAGCACCTCCAGTAGCTCCAGCTCCAGCAGTACCCCCAGCTCCAGTAGCTCCAGTACCTCCAGTACGAGCACCTCCAGGACCAGCAGCTCCAGCACCTGCAGCTCCAACTCCTGCAACGCCACCAGCTCCAGCAGCTCCAGTACCTGCAGTACGAGCACCTCCGGGACCGGTGGCTCCAGTAACCCCCACAGCTCCAGCTCCACCATTGGCAGCACCTCCAGCTCCAGTCGCTCCAGTAGCCCCAGCTCCAGGGCCTCCAGCGGCAGGCCCCCCAGCTCCAGCAGCTCCGCGCTGGAGTCTCCAGCGGCAAGCAAACCACTCGCGCAGCTGCGGTGGAGAGAGAGGCTCCCGCTGAGAAGAAGCACCTGCAGGACCTCCAGCAGACTCAGCACCCCCAGTCTCAGCAACCACTGGCTCAGCACCCCCAGGCTCAGTACCCCCAGGCTCAGCACCCGTAGGCTCAGCACCCCCAGGCTCCGCACACTCAGGCTCAGCACCCCCAGGCTCCGCACGCTCAGGCTCAGCACCCCTAGGCTCCGCACGCTCAGGCTCAGCACCCCCAGGCTCCGCACGCTCAGGCTCAGCACCCCCAGCAGCACCACCCCCAGTAGCAGCACCAGAGTCAACCGCGACCTCGACAGGCTCGACAGCGTCTACCTGAGACACACCTGAGGGATCAGGACCCTGAGGGGGGAGGGGGTCTACCGGAGGAGGACCTGGTGCGAGGAAGAGCGGCGGGGGGGGGAGAGGGGCAGAGCGGTAGGGGAAGAGACGGTAAAAGGGAACCGACTCGTCGAACGTGACGTCCTGAGAGGGCAGGACTCGGCGCGAGGTGGGGTGGTAAAACTGCCAGCCAAGCGCGTCAGGGACAAAGCCAAGGAAGACGCAGGGATTAGCGCGAGCGGAGACCTTGTCCGCGGTAGTATCGCGGACAAAGGCACGAGAACCGCAGACCCGGAACACCGACGCATCGCCAACCTTCCCCGTCCACCGCAGTGTGGGCGAGGTCTCCGGCAAGGAGACACGGGGCCAGAGGTTGAGCTGATGCGCAGCGTATCGGACCGCAAACGGCCACAGAAAATGGGGGGCAGCCGCATGGATCATGGAGGTACGAGCGACCTCCATGACTAAGCCAATGCGGCGCTCAGCAACCCCATTCTGCTGCGGTGAGGCCGGAAGCGTGAACGTCTGGCGAATGCCCTCCCCACGACAAAAGTCCCGCAGAAGGTCGGAGGCAAACTCACCACCTCTGTCAGAGTGCAGACGCAGGACGGGAAGGTCCGTCTCGAACCGCTCGCGGAGCTGGAGACGGACAGCGCGGATCCAAGGGATCAAAACATCAGGGACCTCACCCTTGGTGCGCAAGGGGAAGACCGTGGTGTAATGCGTGTAGTCGTCAACGACCAGCAAAAAGTACCGATCGCGGTCCTGTCCACGGACGCGGGCTGGGCCCCACACGTCCATGTGGAGGGTCTGCAGGGGAGCAGTCGTCGGGGGGAACGAGGAGGAGTGAGGAGCGGCGCGCTGCCACCCCTCGACACAGGGAAGGCAGGGAGGGGCAGGCGAGGGTGGTAGAGGAGGCAGAGTCTCTGGAAGTCCAGAGACAAGGAGACGTCGGTGCATGCCACGGAGGCGCTGCACCGAGGGGTGACCAAGACGGTGGTGCCAAAGGATGGTCTGGTGCGACAGAGCGCGACATAAGCAGGGGGTCGCTAGCTGACCTGACGCAGACGCAGCTACCTGAGGGGACACAGTAGTCAGTGTGTACAGACTCGAGCCAGGCGCTCGGGTGAACGTGGCCAGGTGCCGACCAGTCCTGGAACACGTACAGATCGCCACACGATGTCCTCCTGGAGTAAAGGTGTCAACCCATACATCCTGAAGGACGGCGTTGCTCACCAAGTTCGTAGAGAACGAGGGGAGGTGAAGACCTGACAGTGAGCCAGACGGAACCGCCGGACACGGCAGAACAGTGGAGGAACATGCAATGACGGGGCCCCCAGAGGGGTCAGCCAGAGAGACAGCAACATGTGCAGGGAGCGGTGTGAGTGCGGTACTGTCGCGAAAGAAACAGCGGGTAGCACCTGAGTCAAGCGTGAAGGTGTGCAAGGCCTCAGCAGGCGCAGTACCAGAGAGAGCAGACTCACCAGCACCTAGAGCAGCAGACTCACCAGCACCTAGAGCAGCAGACTCACCAGCACCTGATGCAGCAGACTCTATACCTGGGTCGGGCGGCATACACAGGTAACAGTCACCCTCAGCACTAACAGTCAATGCATACATGGCAGATAGAATAGCATCATAGTCAAGAGCAAAGATATCCACACCCTGCCTAAGCAGCTCTGCCCAGTGGGGGAGCTCCGGTGCGTCAGGAAACTCTGCGCGAAAGGCGTCGGTAAGACGGGAGAAGCAGCGGTGCTGTGTGTGGGGCTGCCCGCATGTCTGACCGGTGCGGTCACCTGTGCGAATGACATACGGGCAGCGACCTCCACCCCCAGCAACCCCCCGCTGAGCAAACCACTCACGTAACTCCTGAGATGAAAGGGGCTGACGCTGCTGCTGCCTCTGACCACCTCCAAAGCCTCCCCTCTGGCTGGTACCACCCCGGCTGCCACCACTGCTGCCTCCTCCACTCCCACTGCTGCCACCACTGCCGCTGCCTCCATCCCACTGCCGCCGCCACTGCCGCCTCCACCGCTCCCACTGCTGCCACCACCGCCGCTGCCTGCACCTCCACCCCCACCACCACTACCTCCGCCACCGCCGCCCCCTCCACCGCCTCCACCACCCCCACCACCGCCGCCACCTCTGCCACCCCCACCGCCCCTGCCTCCCCTGCCCCTGCCGTTGCGGCGCCTCCCACTAGGGGCAGACGCAGCTCCTACCTCCTCAGCACGAAGGTAGTCAACAGCTGCAGCAGAGGCGACTGAGGGGACCAGGGGGGAGGGCGAACACCCCTCAAAGAAGGGAGTGCGAGGAGTGCCACGAGAAGCGCCTACAGCGACTATGCTAGTCTTAGCTGCTAGGAGGTGCCTCTCGAGCAGGTCGACAGTGAGGTCGGTGGGGTCAAGGGCGAGAAGGAGGTCCCTGACTGCGGTAAGAGAGTCAGGGAGGCGGGTGACTATGAAGTAGAGCGTGATGTACATGGGAGGAGGGTTCTTGGCGAGGAACTCGGCGGGGAGCGCAGCGCAGTAGCGAGTGTCACTAGTGCGAAGGTGAGTGACTAGGTCAGCGACTGTGGCAAAGGCGGACAGCTCGGGGAATAGGTAGGGCAGGAGGAGGCGGCCTAGCGCAGCAGTGGCTGGGGAGGAGTAACGAGCGACTACAGCGTCGTACAGTGCTTTAGCTGTCTTATGCTGGCCAAAGTGGGCGCGTTCGGCTAACGGCAGGTGGTTGCGAACGGCTAGGCGAGCAGCAGCGTCACGGGTAAGCCACTGTGAGCGAGTCGAACTGTCAGCTGTGGCGGCAGGGGCGAGAGAGGCGCCAGACGTGAGGTCAAACAGCGAAATACCGTCCTTAGAGTCTGTCAACAGGAACAGCTGTAAGTCGTCTAGCCACGCATTGAACTCTATTGGGCGGCCCTCCGAATCGAAGGTGAGAACGTTGAGAGTAGCCATAGCGGGCAAAGCAGTCGGGCGCGCTAGCAGCAGAGCAGCACGCAGGCAGGGCTAGGCATGTGCGCGCACTAGCATCAGTGCAGCAGCAAACGGCGCGCGGGAGGGCAGGGCGCGCGGCAGGGCAGGGCGCACGGCAGGGCAGGGCGCGCGGCAGGGCAGGGCGCGGTGCAGGGCAGGGCAGGGCGCGGCACTCAGGCAGGGCGCGCCGCAGGGCACGCGGGCAGGGTAGGGCGCGCGGCGGCGCGGCTCGCAGGCAGGGCAGGGCGCGCGGCGCGGCGCGCGGGCAGGGCAGGGCGCGCGGCGGCGCGGCGCGCGGGCAGGGCAGGGCGCGCGGCGGCGCGGCGCGCGGGCAGGGCAGGGTGCTCGGCGCGGGCGGCGCGCGGGCAGGGCAGCACGTGCTGCGGCGGCGCAGCGCGCAAGCAGGGCAGGGCGCGCGGCGCGGCGCGGTGCGCGGGGAGGGCAGGGCACGCGGCGCGCCTCGGCGCGGCGCGCGGGCAGGGCAGGGCGCGCGGCGCGGCGCGGCGCGCGGGCAGGGCAGGCACGGCGGCGCGGCGTGTGGGTAGGGCAGGGCGCGCTGCAGCAGACGGCGCGCGACAGGGCAGGGCGCGCTGCAGCGGGCGGCGCGCGGGCAAAGCAGAGCGCGCTGCTGCGGGCGGCGCGCGGGTAGGGCAGGGCGTGCGCAGGCAGCGCGACGCAGGGCAGGGCAGGGCAGGGCGACGCGATCACAGTGGCGCGACGGGTGGGGTAGCGCTACTCGGTGGGCCCTAAGAAACCGGTCCTAGGCTAGGACCTGCTCTGATACCATGTGAAAATAAAGAACGAGAGTGAATGCACTAGCAGGAATGTGGGTACAAGTAGGAAACCTTAATTGGGTTGTACCCCATATGGGCTACCCCCACTACAGCCTAGATAACAAGCAGCATATAAGTTTGACACTTCGACAATATGAATACGTCGACATCGACAAAACTTTCTCTGACCTACGAGATAAATTTGGCGCGAAGACAAGTGTCGCTGGTAGACAAAATATGAAAAATTATGAAATAAATTTCAAAATTTAAAGATTATGACAATACACGTAAAGGAGAATGCAGTAAGGAGTCTGTCGCTCCTTATATT